TTGTGGATACTAACAATCGAAACGTCGTGAACTAATTTGGCTTGAAATCTCTAAACTTTTTATTTTTATCTTTATTTTCTTTCTGTATTTCTTAATTTTTTTGTTCAATTGTTTTATTTTTACTTGTATTTTATTTCACTATTATTTCATTTCATGTTTTTTTTGCTTAATATAATTGTTATTTACAGCTATTTATTTGTAATTCTTTTCATTTAGTTGTTCAGGGATTTCATATCATTTTATATATTAGACAATGGAAGTCCTAACTAGTGAAATTCTACCTGAGTATTTTAGAGAATACTGTCGTCGATAATTCGTCGAAGAATATCAAAAATATTGGTACCAACTAAACGGAATCCTGCACGTTGTACAAGAGAAGTGAGCGCAGAACTGGACAGGCTTTTTAACGATCGGTGGATAAGGCCCTTGAGACCATAGAATTGGTCAGCAAGATCACCCGATTCAAATCCGTTTGATTTTTATCTGTGGAGCATGTTTGAAGAAAAAGTTAACAAAAAACCCGTGGTTTCTAACGATGAATCGTTAGAAAGGATTGCCCAAACATTTGAAGATTTGGATCTCAATGAAATCAGGTATGCCACGAAGAAAGCACTCAACACTCGCATTTTGGAGTGCTTGAAAATGGACGGCCAGCGATTTGGTGAGTGTAGGCCCATAGCACTTAGGCCACATTTTACCCATTGTACATCCCCCGAGGAGTTGTCCTCCTGGGTCATCGTCCATCCTGTCACACACACTCTCTTATTGACGGTAACTCCTGACATTCGCATAAGACATGCCTGGCAGTTTCATCTTCCTGTTCATACATTCTGCATTGGGGTGTGTCCTCTAGCCCCATATTATGGAGGCGTAGATTTTTCCTGGTCATTGCCAAATATTTCTTCGGTGTCACCTTCCCAGGGTCGCCTAGGGAGATCCTGATAAGATTGCATCCTTTGATTCCATACCATCTCTTTAGGGAATGAGCATGGGTGTGACGTTTGGCTAGTTCTGCAATTGTCGAAGTCATCGGGCCGTAGGAGTCACTGGGTCCTGAAATTCTTCCTTGGCTGAAGAGTCGGCAATGTGATTACTTTACCTATACCCCACATCCTGAGCCTTCTTTGGATTTTGAACCGTCTGTATATATGCGTATTGCATTTGTAGCATCTGACTCTGTGTTGTTTTATTTGTATTTTGTAGGGTTCATTAAACATAAACCTGAGTTCAATTACATCACTGGTTGCCTGCAGCAGAAGTTGCGCAGTAAGCGCTTCTCGCCATAGGCTCAATCTAATTGACTCATTTCTACTTCGGGGTTTACACCAGCTGTGCGCAATCGTAACATGGCCATTAACCATACCAGTAATTGATTGTTTTGCCGCGGTTGTTATTCTCATGACTCCTGTTATGTTTAAACAAGCCATTCGCTGTATTTGTTATGAATTTTGAATGGCCGTTGCTTGTAGAACTTTCGGTCCCCATGCAATGGCTTCGTAACCTCTATACTCATCACGTGACGACGATAACCCGAGTTGTTAAAAATATCATCCTGGCAAGCCATCAGTCAGGGGCTTTGATAACCCAAGATTGAAAAGGATCCCCTACATCCGGTTAGGCTTTTATGTAGGCCTTTTGCTAAATGGGTTCCAACGTTATGGGATAGTTGTGGTCACCTCATTCAGAATTGAAAACTGAAGCAAGTTCATCAGCCGCTCAAGCAGCTGCCTCGAAGAGAAATTATTCAAGATCTGTTCCCTCATGATCACGGGCCATGCAGAGAAGGGGATCCGACTTTTGTTGACACCAAAGACTTCATCCATTATCATTATCTCAGATATTGTTGTCGAAGGATATACAACCATGGAACGGAAGATTTGGGATGCAAACTCCTGAGAAGATGCATCATTTTTCGGATCTTCACGACAAGGTGGTACAGCTTGTCTCGAGTCCACTTTACTACCCCAATGTAGTAGAGTAAGATCGGAACAGAAAGCATATTCGTTGCAGCAACTTTGTTCCTCTCTGGTTAAGTCCAACGACAAAATCTATCATAGTTGGTGCTGATACTTACCGCGAAGAGATTTTTTCACTGAGGTTACCTCTTATTTGTGGCGTTGTTCGAACTCGAAGGCATCGGGGGAAGTATACGTCTCTCTGGCATCCTGTTTCCAGCTCAAAGTCATCCATATTAAACGAATGAATGATAACATCATGCCCCGGTTTTTTGGAAGCGCCACCTTCGAGTGAATATGAGCACAACGGATACTCACGATGGTGAGATGCAGAAGAGAAGCAGGTTGAGTGAATATCACTGAAATGAACCCCTTCTGAAAGTAGCACATCCTGTCTGGATTCTAACTAGACTAGATGTTAAGGTGAAATGAGTCCGCCAGAGTGATCTGTTGTTTAAGGCATCTCAATATTATATTGGGTATCGCAAGGCATATAAGCAAGTATAAGTGTTGTATCTGATGCCATGTGTAATTGATCCATGCCATAGAGATCCATAACATCATTATTATTTTCCCCGATAGTGAAACTGGTCGGATCATGTTCCTGAAGCCCCGATACATTCGGGATAGCGCCTATCCTCATCAACCAATGATCACCCCCTACCCGGTGAGGTAAATGATCATTGGGTCCAAAAATCATGTGCTTTTATTATCATTATCTTGAAAAATTCTTCATTATTCCGAGGATGATGATGAAATAAGGGATCAAGGATTTTTTTAAACGATATGAACAAGAAAGCATTTTACACATATTGATAAAATACTTTTTCACAGGTATGGGGTCATATTATGGAAAAAAGACGTTTGACACGTTCGTCCATAAAAAATCAGTGCTATGCAAAAATTTCAACATAATTGGGGAAACCCTTGAGTCAGTGAAGTACGCTCCTTACTCAAAATTCAAAACGGGCGCACTTAGGTTTGTGCTCAGGTGAGTATTTCATAACTTTGAAAATTTGAATGAAATTGTTTCACCTTCCGTAATGAAACTAGTTAAATAATAAACGAAGGAAGAATTTTCATTGGAAGTGATATTTTTCAAATTTCACAATCGATTTTCAATTTTGTATTTATTACATGATCCAACAACAGATAGCGCTGTTTCGGTCCACTAGGTTAAGTTAGGTAAGGTCCAAAGTGAGTGGATCTATTTGACCCTCCACCGCAACCCGCAAGGGTTTATTGTGGATCACACCTATTGACACTCGACCAAATAAACCCAGCTTCTCAACGAAGCTGACTAGTTTGTTCAGTGAGTGGTCTTTCAGGTCAGATGGTAAGAGTAGGGCTCTGCCGAACTCTGAAAACCTGATTCGGTCTCCAGCGGGACAGGCACAAAGTATGTGCTCTGCTGTTTCATCATTTTCCAAACAGAGGTGACACACACTGTCTTCCGACAGTCCGAGTCTCTGCATATGATGATTCAAATGACAGTGACCTGTGAGAAGGCCTGTTAGACATCGTAGTTCATCCCTACTGTAGTCCAACAACTGTTCATAAGTCTTCTTGTTCATAAGTCTTCTTGTTATTCAGGCGTTCAATCTTTGTTCAGCAAAGCTTAAAGCGGTGCCAATGACAGGTTCTCTGGTCCGATGAAACTGCTTGCAGCACCCTCCTTTGCAAGGGAGTCAGCAACCTCTTTGCCTTCCAGGCCAGTATGGCGCATAATCCAGACCAGAGACAATCTGTTAAGTCTTCCTACCGAGGAGAGTTGTTTTTGGCAATTTGCTACCAATTTAGACGTTGCTCGCTTGGAGCCAAGAACTTTCAACGCTGCTTGACTGTCCGAGAATATTTCGATTGACTTGTGAATGGGGTTGGATTCTTCCAATCTCTCCGCACGTAATTCAGTAGCATAAATTTCAACTTGAAATACAGGCGCATAGGTTCCTAGGCAGGTTGATATCTCTGTCCTGAGTCTGCGACTGAAAACACCTGTAATAGAACCGGAAGGTGTTTTTGATCCATCTGTGAATCAACAACTACCTATCTGCTCTCAATATTTTCTTCTCCCGGAGGATCCAGTCCTCTCTACTCGGGAACAGTACTTTATAAGGCAGTTCGAAGTTGAAAGTTGGAGGCATAAAGTCAGAGGTCATTTCCAGAATGCTGTGACTTCCAGTGCCAACTATACCTTTCCTAACCAGATATGATCATATGTATCAAGGTAGTGCATTGTCAAATGCTCCTTCAATATCAAGAAATACAGCAACCGCAATCTCTTCATTGTCAAGGGATTGGAAGATTCTTTCTACAAGGTTGTTTAATGATAAATCTGTTGATTTGCCGGCTTGATTAGGTATACTGGTGTTTATTCAGGGGGGATGCATATAATGCCACCCTCCTGATGAGTCCGTTCAGTATCCTCTCCAGTTCTTCCATATATACCACCCTTGCGACCAACCAACTGGATGACATATTCGTTCCACTAAGACTCATCAGCAGTCTGAGGCTGTACCACTCGTTTCCATAGATGGTGTCTTTATAGATGGAGGTGTCATCACTTTCACTTCCAGTCTAGTCCTCTTTGGGACAGTTGAGCCCAGCCTAGCCTAGCCTAGCATCACAGATGAGATTTTGAAGGATTAAAACAGCGCTGGCTGGTGCTGACAGATGGTCGATGTCAATGCTTGGCTTTACAACTGACCACCTGGGAGAGCCTCGTTTATTTTTGATAACAGAGGAGTGAGTCTTCCGTCGATCCCATATAGGATGTCTTTGAAGAATGATATCATCATTGTAGTGATTGTTCTAATGTTGCGTAAAACATTAGAACAATTAGAACCTCTGGTGTGAAATAGATCTTCCGTAAAACACTTTTTCCATACCAGAACAAAAATAATGTCTCTCGACGTACGTTTTTCTAGCTAAATTAATATCATCAACTTTTTTTTTCAGGAACAACACATCTTTTCCAACCAAATATATCCCCCACATATTGATGTTTGGTTTAGGGGTGGCAGTTACAATTGGTGGATATTACTTGAATAAGTATCTTCGAGAGGAAGAATAATATTATCTAATATTTCGTTTACTAGATTTTGTCAATATGACTTTTATGGCTGTGGCGATTAGAACTAATGAGTATTTTCATTTTACTCATAAACAATCCAGTTTACCTTTCGTTTACCAATAAAAAATATTGGACTGAAAAGGTTCGTCAAACTTAACGTCAACTACCATCAGATAATACAGAATGAAGTTCTGTCTCAATATCTACGAGGTACTTTGAAAACTATTCAGAATATTTCGAGTGTTTCATTGAGTTGAGCATAAAGGGATTGTCATTTTATGATAAAATATTCTAGAGTGGTAACACCTGGGTTCGAGAGATAAGAACAATGGAAGTTTTGGTACTCATATATCGTATTTTCAATTAAATACAGTTGTGTGTGACAAAATATTCAAAAGAAGTAAAAAGAAATTAACAGAAAACAGTGAACACGTTGAATACTAATAGACTATGAAAATAATTCTGAATATAACATGCAGAATGTGAACAAATTGAAATCAGTAAAATTTAATATGTTTTCGAGACTTTCATATTGAATGTTGAAATTGAAATTGATTTTGAATTCTCTTGAATTGTGAACATATCACAATCTCACTGAATTAATAATTATGCAACTATTGAAATAAAGTGTGAGCTGATATCGCGTAACGAACTCGTGTACGAAAAAATTAACTTGTTGGATAGTGGGGTATTGCAGCAAGTAAATGAGTACTATTTCAAATTAGTCCAAGCTTTCGAAAAATTTCATTTCCATCATTAGGGAAACTGCAATAATATAAGTTTTACAGTAAAATGAAAAAATATTACATGCTCATGACTTACATCTTATGTGAGGATGGTTACATTGATGTTGAAGAAGAAACGATGAGACATTGGTGGAGATAAAACTTGATATACAATTCTGACTGATTGAAATTTTTTTNTATCACATATTCTTTCGAGACTGAAATTACCTATATCAAAAGTTTGAAAATGAGGTTATAAGGATGTTCACAATACGTATTTGGGAAACAAACTTTAAAAAATTTTATGCATTTCACTTCTCCAAAAAGTTTGAAATAAATTATTTACAAAGATACAAACTGGGAGAAAAACTCTTCCAGAAACAACAACTTTCAGATGAACATCGAATAACACAAAATTTCCAAGTTCGCTATTGGAGATTGTAGGTGAAATTTTACTTCGTAACTCATATATTATATTGTGAACCGTTCCTATAAATGATAACTGATTCAATTACATAACAAGTGCCTGGAGTACAAACTGAATAATTCTGTGTTCTTATGCATTTATAAATCAGTGAAAGTAGTTATTTCAGGGAGGCTTGTTTTCCAGTTTGAATCTGAAAGTGTCTTTCATGCTAGATGTATAAGTCTTCGTTATTTTGAACTCGATTGCTTTTTTCCTACCTTTGTATAACGATCGAAAATATCCCCTCTTCAATTCATACAAATAATGTAGTCTGCATTTCTTGAAGAAAATACTTACATATTTCATAAGAAATGAACTGAATAATACATTAAAAAATTGTACAATTGCAGATGAAAATATGAGAATATACTCAAATAAAAGAGCCGATATCTTCATATTTTTTCATTTGAGGGAACATTTGTACGGCGTGTATGATTTTCTAATGAGCAATTCTGAAAACGGTCTTGTTCTCTTTCGCTATAGCCTTATAATTAACAAATAATGACGCACGCAAACCCAGTATTTTCCCATTAAACGAGGTAAACTTGTTACAAATTCAGTTTATAAGAATATTTATCGACGTCAGTGAAGGTTATTGAACGACTACTGAATGAAGGTATTTTCTGATTGATTTGAGTAATTACTAATTATTAGTTAATTTAGTAAATGGCATTGGGTGAATTATTTTCATGGATTCAGAAAAAGATTGAAGATCTTTAGTTTTTAATAAAAGGTAAACTATAACCTTCGTTGTATAATATACCCGATAAAATCACTTTTACCACATTCCCGAACAACAACACTTTTTTTGACGCACGTTTCTCCAACCATTTGGACGTAATCAATTGGGTTATATGAAAATTTGATAGGTGAATTATCAATCAGACGTACACAGCGTTCACCAATAATAAAATTTATTAATAACACATACAAAACGACAAACAGAAAATAACAGTGTAACCTCGTTTCGGTCATGAATATCATCCAGAAGGTTCATCCACTTGGCCCTAATTCCATTCCAGTCTCGATAAGGGTGTTAACAATGGGCAAACAAAACATTTGGTTTAGTGTCGTAAATAGTTCAGTGTAGTCCAAAATATTCATCCATTTTTCTGGCAATGAACTTTCGTTTAAAGAAAACTTCAAAATGATACGCGATATGAAATGACGAAAATAATAAGTGAAAATTAAAATGAAAGAATTAAGATGAAAACCCAAGCAGATAGATATTTGGACGACTGCTCGATAATTGAGTTATGAAAAGTTAATTTTCTAACAAAAGTTCATAATACAAAATATAAGTAAATAAAGATCGCTGCCCGATGCGCCACATCCAGGACTTCGACCAGAGCCTGCACGAAAAGAAACTATTCTCCACGTTTGACCTGGTCCGCGCCTATCACCAGATCCGTGTGACTTCAGAAGATATCCCGAAAATGGCGATCACTATAGCCTTTGGGATTTTCGAGTGTCCAGCGATGAGCTTCGGTCTCCTCAACGCAGCACAGACCTTCCAGCGATTCATCGACGAGAAGCTACGTGGACTGAACTTCATCTACGCCTACATTTACGACCTTCTTGTTCCATCCGAGAAAGACGAAGAACATCTCGACAAAGAACATCGTAATCAACACCTTTAATGTTGTTATGGAGAGTTGAAGGTCAAGTTCCTGAAATATCTTGTGTCTGGCGAAGGCACACAACCCCTCCCGAAAAAGGTCTCCGCGATCCGTGACTATCCATGGCCCGATAAAGCGAAGGATCTCCGGCAGTTCCTAGGTATGATTAACTTTTACAGACGTTTCATACGTAGGATTGCTAGAACCCAGGCGCCACTCAACAACCTCCTGAAGGGCAACATCAAGGGAAAGACGCCAATTACGTGCAACGACACCGCCGAAGCTGCTTTCACTGCCTGCAAGGACCCCCTCGTCAGCGCAACATTCCTTGCCCATCCAAAACACTCATTGGTCTATGATGCATCGGACCACACCGTTGGAGCAGCCCTGCACCAGCTAATAAACGACGAATGGGAACCTCTGGGTTTCTTCTCGGGAAATCTGAGCAGCGCCGGGGCCAAATAATCTGCCTATGATCGAGAACTTCTTGCATCTACAGGGCCGTCAAGTACTTCCGGCACATGGTTGAAAGACGCCACTTCATCGTCCCGACCGACCACAAACCGCTGACCTTCGCCTTCCGCCAAAAGTATAACCAGTGTTCTCCGCGCCAGTTCCGCCACCTGTATTTTATCGGGCAATTCACTGCCGATATCCAGCACATCTCTGGTGAGAAAAATGTGGTTGAAGATGCTCTCTCCCAGGTCGATGCCATCGCCGCATCACTCGATTTCGAGACCCTCTCAGCGTCCCAGCAACAGGACTACCAGCTCCAAAAACTCCGTTAGAGAGATGACTCTGATCTGATTCTGCGCCTAGTGACTATCCCTTGATCCAACGCTGCCATCTTCTGCGACGTATCCACTTCGACGGCGCGGCTCTTCCTTACAGCTGCCTTTCGCAGACCAGCCTTCGATGCCATCCACGTACTGTCGCATCCTGGTGTCAGATCGACCACCACCCTCGTCAGACAGCGCTATCTGGCTCTCCATCAACGGCGATTATCGCGTTTGGGCCCGCGCCTGCATTCAGTACCAGCAGTCCAAGGTTTCGAAACATGTCTTGACACCGATTGGCAATTTAACAGCACCATCTAGACGGTTCGAGCATGTTCACATCGACCTTATCATCATGCCGTACTAAGAGGGATATGTATTTTTTCAACTGCGTCGATCGCTTTTCGCGATGGCCAGAAGCAATACCCCTTCAGGACCTCTACTCCACCTGGGTCGCACATTAGGGCGTTCCGCTCCGCGTGACCATGGACCAGGGTAGACAATTTGAGTTTCACCTATTCTGTTTCCTCAACAAACTAATGGGCACCGACCACCTGCGGACGACGGCGTACCATTCTTCAGCCAATGGTATGGTCGAGCGACTCCACCGACAGATGAAAGCCTCTATTTGTGCGGCCTGGAAGGAACATTTTCAGGCCATTGGTGCAGAGATGGTGTACGGTGAGCCACTCTGTCTTCCTAGCAAGTTTCTGGCGTCCATTTCCACCAGGGACATAGATGACTCAGCTGAATTTATTCGTGAGCTGCGCCAGCATTTACAGGCGCTGAGGCCAATCAGGGGCACCAGGCACGACGAGCAAAAACTCTTAGATTTTGCTACCGTCACGCACGTATTCGTCAGGCACGACGCTTCAAGAGAACCGCTCTAGCTGTCGTACGATGGTCCCTACGAAGTTGTTTCCCGAGTCGAAAAACACGTCACGCTCGAGATACCAGGCAGAAAAGTTCCAGTTACCATCGATCGCCTCAAACCAGCCTACATCATATTCGAGAATATAGCTGCACCTGAAACTACCACTGCCCTTGACGACGACGACTTTATTCCTGTCGCTCCAGGAGATAATCGAGCTCCATTGCAAGAGGAACCAGCATCACCACCTGCCTCAGGACGTGCTCAGGTCGTCGTGTTCGATTCACTGAACGCTACTAAGCAGGCTTCAATTAATTTACTTCGCTTTTTTTTTCCTTCTTATCCGTGCAATATTCACAATTTTATTTTCTTGTACAATTCAATACAGTTCAATAAATGTTCGCACATTGGCACTCAAAAATTTTTTTTCATATATCTCCACTTTATATGGTATCAGTTATCAACGCAAAATATAAAAACTATTCCAAAATATGTTCAAAGACATTTCTGTTAACTTCCAGGCATTTCATTGGCATCTAACGTATCAGATGAAATTTTCTTTTTGTCGTTTTTGAGTTTGTTTACCGTTTAAAACAATAGAAACGCAATGGAAACAAATTAAG